CCCCCCCCCCCCCCCGGGGGGGGGGGGGGGGGGGGGGGGAGAATCTTGCCGCTGGGCCTGGATTGGATCCTCTGTTTTGCACATGGGAGAATTTTTGCCCAAACATCTAGATAGGGTCTTTGCAAAACAGGGCTGTTGACAGCGCCTTGTTGTGGGCTGGTTCAGGCACTATCTGGGGAGATTTGCGTCAGAGGAATTCAGGGGTGGTTGGTTGCTGTTCAGCAGATGTAGTTCCCTGAGATTACAGCAAAGTGCGGAGCAGGAGAAGCTCACGCATTCACATCTCACCTAGACATAATAAATACAAGGGTTGGGGAAACCGAGGAAGATCTCGCTTGAGTTGCCCAGCTGTTCACTGCCCCCTCCTGTCACCCCCACGTCCTGCTGAAAAGTTGGACCTGTGGCTGTCCTGTCCCCATTCACACAATCTCTAAAGCGTTCCTTCTCCCCAGCATCGTTCCGATGGACGCACCTTTAAAGGCGATCACCATTGAGTCAGACCATCTGGGCCGTGCAAGGAGTCTGCATGCCTGCCTCTAAATTGCACCAGCGATAGCCTGGGCTAGCCTTTGCGTAGGACCTCTTGGCGAGGTCAGCTCATTTGGTGGCCCAACCTTTGGAAGGGGTCTTCTCGGGCTCCCCTTCCTGTGTAGAAATTTTCTACAGAAAAGTGGGATAGGAATCGGATTCTGTTTTCCAAGCAGGGAGCGCGGCGGCCCCATCACCTTTTGCGTTCCACACGCAACCTCTTTATGGGTTTGGGAAACGGTGTGCAAAAATGTTGCCCGTTGCCCTTGTTCCTCTTTTGTTCCGTGTATCAGAAAGGGTCTTCTGAATCAGGAGGGTTGGGAGTTTCCCTTAAAAACAAGCAAAGCCCCAGCGGGCATTCTGATGGATCGAAATTCTGCAAAAGTTTCCAACTTTGGTGGGGCATCCTGGACCTTGCCTCGCTTAGCAGTGGCATATTTGGCTTTGAACGCCTGAAGATCATTCTGAAGGACCGATCTTCCTCTTTAAATAGAAGCGCAAGGAACCCCCAAAACTGGCAGGGTGAGCTTGGGAAGAAGGACTTTGTGGATGAAGAAAAGCGCCTCGGGCCTGATCCAGCCTTACTTGCCTTTGCTCCAAACATAGCAGGGCTGAGCCTTCGGAACTTGAGATGGCTGTTCTCACCTAAGCCAACCGCGGCTGGCTTCTTTTATTCCCTTTCCTGCCTTGCGGTACGGACTTGTCGCCAATCGGGGTGGCGTCCGCCAGTTTAGACGGCCGGCCGTAAAAAGAGGAGCCAATTTGCAAAGGGAGGAGCCGGCCACGGCTCCTAGTTCTGATGGCGACTTATTGATGGCCACCACTGGGATCGCAGCGAGCAGACGCTGTGGACTTCCCAGAATGGGTCCAGAGGGGGGCGGGCCCCTGTCAGCGTGGCCGACCTCTTGTGACAGCCTCTTGGCCCGATCCAGCCTCAAGGCCGTTCTGACATTCTTCCCTCCTCTCGAGGCAGCGTCAATGCGCTGCTTTTCCACAGCACGGAATGGTCACCCCCCTTTTTTTTCCGCATTGCGTTAAAACTTCCGGAGCTGGAAACAAAAGGTTACCCGTGCCCGTCTCTCACCGCGGCCCTGGGTTCGGGTTTCGGCTTGGCAGTGCCAGTTCCCGGCTGGGCGCCTTTTTCGCCTTCCGTAGGCTCAGCTGCACCCAGCAACCTCCCCTTTTATGTGATGGCTGTGATTGCACTCAGCCGGAGAATTTTCACATTTCCTCCCCCCCCCCCCCCCGGGCTGTGGCACAATCCGAGTGCCTCCATGCACACGTGTGCACAAGAGGACTGCCATTTCGGATTGTAAATAGATTTCTCTCTTTCTCTCTCTCTCTCTCTCTTTTTCTCCTGAGTAGCTAAGGAGGTTTAATTAAAATTAGGGCTTCTCCAAACAGCAATATTTATGAGGATGGCACAGGTTAGCTTTGTTCTCCTGAAGGGTTTAATAGAGCCTTAATGGATTGACCTACCCTCCATCTCGTACGGTAGACTGACTTCCATTCTCCAAACAGCCACTCCAAGGGAGGGGAGCAACAACGGCTTTTATTGCGGCTGCATTCCCATAAGCGATTGCAATTTATCAGAAGCCTCTGGCAAACAAAAGGAGCCGTGAATGGGAAGAACACTTGAGGGCATAGAAATAATGTCCCCCCCCCCAGCGGCTCCCTCCGCGCAAGGGATGGCTTTGTCGCAGGACGAAGACTTCGCAGCCGCTGCAGGGCCTCTCAATGGAGGGAGCTGATGTAAGGATGGGGACGACATTCTTTATGCCTTGCAAGAATGAAAAGATTATTCAAATATTCAATTAAACTGTGAATAGGGTTTCTTCTCCAAACCAGGTGAGTTCATCAAGATGAACCTGCTATTGTCACGCCGGTGCAGGGCGGAGAGATTTGACATTTAGCAACGTAATTTCTGGCATGGGGGAAAGCTGTCGGTTTGCGCCCCTCCCTCCCTCCCGTTCTTTCCCTTCCCCGGGCAAAAATCGCAGCCAGTCGGGCTCAGCAGAGGAGAAGGCAAAGGGGGTCTGCTGGCTGGGCTGGAATCGAGCAGGACGTGGCTTGCTTTTCCTTGGGGGGCATCTCCGGCCAGGTGGGCAGGGGCTCGTTTGGGGTGGGCCTCCTGGAGACATGACCATAATTGCCCTAGTATTAATAAGATTGCAGTCATGGTAATTGTTCTGGAGAAAATCCATCTTTGTAGCGGCCGAGAGTCGACGCCGATGGGACGGCCCATCATCTAATCAATAGCTGCAGAATCCATTTCCGTTGCTAAATTTCGGGGTGAGCCCAAGCCCACTAGTTTTTAAACCACGGCACCAGATTCACCGTTACCTGAGCCCAGTCCTTTATGGCTTGCTCCATAATGCAAACCATGGTTTGCACGATGCGGGGAGGCAACTTTTCTAGTGCCTTCTGAGAATAAAAAAAATCGGCTTTCCAAAGCATCTCAGAGAGGTGCAATTTGGGGGCGTGCAGTGGGGGCCCTTGGAAAGTGGGTAGAGCCAACCCCCCCCAAATCTAATTGATGCTCATTCCATTAAATGCAAGAAATAGTGCAAATTATGCCTCCAGCAATGACCAGCCAAGAGATTTATTTATTATTTTTATTTATTATTAAATTTGTATGCTGCCCATCTCCCCCCAGCAGGTGACTCTGGGTGGCTGCCTTGACATCTTAGCCAACAGGGCAGAAATACGTTTGTTCCTCTTGCCCGATACATTTTTTTTTCTTCCGAACGATAAACTATTCCAGTTCTTTGCACAGGAAACCAGCACGCTCCGCACCCCTTTTGACACTGAAAGAAAAAAAGAAAGGAAAACAGATCAGTGCTAAAATATCCCTGAAGTTTAACTCTGTCTAAAAAATCATCTGTAAGTCTTAAATATCTTCCATCCAGGGAGATATTCGTTCGTTTTCATTTGCCTACTTTTTCTTCTTTCTCCTGATCATAGAAGGTCTGTAACTTGCTGTTGAAATTTGGCAAGCGCCACCCAGGGGTGCCTGCACGAGCAGTGCGCATAAATCATGTGCCCGCCATCTTGATTTTCTTTGATCCACGATCCACCTGCTGATGCAGTCATAACCCCCCCTTCCTTGAGCCCCCCCCCTTTCTTTTTTATTGGGCATCTCGTTTTTACTTATTTGCTTTTTCCTGTCTTCCCTGGGCATAAAGAATTTCAGGACTGTGGAAGCAGAGTTGAGCTGACTGAAGCGTTCGCCTCCTTCGGGAGCTGCTTGGAAGATTTCATGTGTTTCCCAGACTCCTCCGTGGCACCCTGGCGAGGAGGCTGAAGACTGGGCAGAGAAGGGCAGGGTTTCCTAGCAGAGCGCTTTATTTTTCACCCAACAGCCGGGGCCCCTTGCTCAGCGTGATATCTGAGCCCCCCTCAGCACAGACACCTCTGCAAATTGGGAACCGTCTAGGGGGGGTTCAGGAGCTCTGAAAAGCACAGGGAATGAGCATCTGTGTGTGGGGAAGGGAGCCTGCCCCAGACAGGAGGAAGCAGGAAGGTCCTGGGCATCTTCGAATGATCCCTCTGTGGTTGCCCCTCGGCTGTGGTTTCCTGACCCTCGCCACGCACGGCTTCTCTGTCTCTCGTGTCCCCCAGGGTCTAACGGGGATGGGAACCAAACAACCTGGTCATCACTTTGCTTTCACACCTGCCAGCTACCTCCCTTGCCTTCCTGCAGAGGGAGAGACGTTGCCTCGTCTTCCTAAAGCCCTCTTGCCCACAATATACCCATGGGGGAGAAGCTGTGCCAGGCAGCGGGGATCACGGTTTCCATGTCGGCTGAGCCGCGTCGCAGCTTTCTGGAGGCCAAGCAGATTAAGGCAATCTCTCCGCTGCCCAGGGACACAATCTGGTGGCCTAGCCGTTGTCTGGCAGGGAGGCGAGCGAGCGAGCGAGCAAGCGGCCGTCCGGCTGAGGGCCGGTGCCTTATTTACGTACGGGCTGTGGCGTTTTCCCTGCTGCTGGCTAGAACGCCGCCGATGGGCACGCCAGAGCGGCCGCGGGCAGAGCTCCGAAGGAGGTCCTGGCCAGGCGGAGGCTGGGCTGACCCCTCCCCGCTTCCTCATTTTTTGCTGCAGATGTGAAGTACGTGGAGAATTCCAGCCTCGTGAAGGACGCCCAGGAGAAAGCCAACGCCGCCCTGCTCGAGTACACCGTCTGCCATTACCCGCAGGCCACGGACAAATTCCGGCAGCTGCTGATCCAGCTGGCTGACATCCGGGCCCTCAGCGTGCAGGCTGAAGAATACCTGTACCACAAGCACCTGAGCGGGGAGGTCCCGTGCAACAACTTGCTGATTGAAATGTTGCATGCTAAGCGGACTTGAGGGGTCCCCGTGCTCCAAGGCACGCGACGGAGGCTGGGGCGGTGGGAGAGAGGCGGGCCGGGGGGTGTTTGGCAAGCAGGCAGGAGCCCGGTGTGCCCCCCGCGTCCTTCCATCGCCCCGGCGTGCTTGAATCCGGCCGATTCCACCCAGGGGCCCTCCGTCCGCCGGGT